ATGTATGTAGAAGTATCTTAGGAATTGAATTTGTTATATTTGAATAGGATTCTCTTATATTATCTCTCTTATATTATCTCTCTTATATTATCAAGCAGTAGTTGAACAGCTGTTAACAGGTGTGTCTTCTCACATATGGGAAGTGGCTGTCTTGCGTCTGCGGAGCCCTACATGCTCATGTTTTGCTATGTAGGTGAAACAGTGGTTAATGTATAGTTTTTTGTTTTTTTTTTTTTTGTCATTAACTCGACAGAGGTCTCGCCTTTGTTGCCCAGGCTAGAATGAGTGCCGTGGCATCAGCCTAGCTCACAGAACCCTCAAACTCCTGGGCTCAAACAATCCTCTCGCCTCAGCCCCGAGTAGCTGGGACTACAGGCATGCACCACATGCCGGCTTATTTTTTCTATACATATTAGTTGGCCAATTAATTTCTTCTATTTATAGTAGGGATGGGGTCCGCTCTTGCTAACGCTGGTTTTGAACTCCTGACCTTGAGCAGTCAGCCCGCCTCGGCCTCCAGAGTGCTAGGTTACAGGCGTGAGCCACCGCACCCGGCCTAGCATGTATAGTTTTGAACCACTTTAGGCCAGTACTTTGTGGTAGCACCTGATCACTTTAACATGTTCCCAGAAATCCCCCCCTACTCACTATCACCCTTCTTTCTGTCCTCCTTTTCCATTGCTTAAAAGCTGAAAAAAATCTGTAGTAATGTGGATATTTTCTGTAATTCACTAACATATTTTAACCATTAAATTTGGTTAGAATAATTTCTTAGCATATTTTTTGCAGCTGAATTATTTTAATCAATCATTTTTAGGAGTTTTAAAGTTTGTTTTATGACCCATGGTTTAAATAGAGTGAGAAGATATTTAAGTTTTTTTTTTTTCAAATTACATAGCTGAATTGCTCTTAATGAATTGATCTCTTTTCATTTCTCATTTTTGATTCATGATCTCAATTTTAAAAAGGGTGGAGGCTATTTTTACCTTAATACTAATTTTAGAATTTTAAAAAGAGAAAATTTTCCTAGTAAGATATTGTTTATGACTTTATTACAACTTGTATTTTCCACTATAGAAAGAATTTTTTTTTTTTTGAGACAGCAGTCTCGCTTTGTTGCCTAGGCTAGAGTGAGTGCCGTGGCATCAGCCTAGCTCACAGCAACCTCAAACTCCTGGGCTCAAGCAATCCTCCTGCTCAGCTCGGAGTAGCTGGACTACAGGCATGCGCCACCATGCCCAGCTAATTTTTCTATATATTAGTTGGCCAATTAATTTCTTTCTATTATGTAGAAGACGGGGTCTTGCTCTTGTTCAGGCTACTGTTCGAACTCTTGACCTTGAGCAATCGTCCGCTCGGCCTCCGAGAGAGCTAGTATTACAGGCGTGAGCCACCGCGCCTGGCCTAGAAAGAATTTTAAGGTAAAGAAATTCGCTATGATTTTTGAAATGGATGCATCTTTCTATATGTTTTCTAGGAGTAATACAGATTTTCATTGAGACAACTTAACTTTCAGTTTACTGTCCAGTTTCGGCAATCAGTACTAAGAGAACTCTTTCAGAGGCTCACAAGGGGTAAAGTTGAAAAATTTACTTTTTGATTTTTGTAAAGCAAGATTTGCAAGTGCTGGCTTATCAAGACATACCTGCAAATTTCCTATGAACCTGACATTATTTCACTTTTATTAATGTAGGGGAATTAACACAGCCAAAGGAGCCACTCTAATGTTCCTTCATCTAGTCCAGGGGTCCTAAACTTTTTAAACGGGGGGCCAGTTCGCTGTCCCTCATACGTTGGAGGGCCGGACTATAGTCCGCATGTGGCCTGTGGGCATAGTTTGAGGATGCCTGATCTAGTCCATTTTAAAGTGCTTGGGGAAAATTATACATAGAAGAATTCATTGTGTTGCCTAATCTGTAACTGAATTGTCCTTAATAAATTTCCTAAACTATTTTTTTTTTATACCCTGAGTATATGATAGCTTAACAACTCTTACCTTCACGAATAAATACATCATTCTTGTGAATAGTCGGTTCTTGTGAATCCACGTTTTGTAATAGTATACTTATCTTTTTGTAAGTAAAACTAACATTAGTGCCATCTACTTTAATATTCCTACCAAATGAAGCTTTGGGATGAAATCCTGTTTTTAAATTTGCCTGTTAACA